CCCTCTCTCTCTCACCCTCTCTCTCTCACCCTCTCACCTCCCCTGGGTTGCCGGGCAGCATCTTATTTTCCGTCAACATGTTTGCTTCTTGTCACCTTGTAGCCTCTGCGGGGGTCATGCTGGCACACATTTGCCAATCAAGCATGTCAGCAAAGCATTATGGGCAGTTAAACATGTCGAGGCCGCGTCCAGTCCCACGGCATCTTAAAAAGCAAAGTGCTGTTGTGATATTTGCAGAACAAGTGTGTTCTCATCCTCTCATCTTCAACTATTTAACCTCATCAGTTTTACTTCCACCTGATATTCAGTCTGATGTTTATTCTCCTTTTGAACTCTGATTTAGATTAAATTTAGAAAAAAAGAATCATCTTATTTTTGTTTGGGGGGGATTGTTGGAATAGTTTACTGTGTGTGACACACACACACACACACACACACACTCCGCACCTGTGTGTGTGTGTGAGAACTGGGTCAGCTTCTGTTGTTATTCATATCACCACTATCAGTCTCATAATGCTGGAGGCATTATGGAAATCATATGCACACACACACACACACACACACACACACACTTTACTCCATTACCCCCCTGTGGCGACTCCAAACAGATGGGAGCTCAAACCTTTCCAGACAATAGACTGTGACATACATAGATGATATGTTCCTGTATGTCTCTAAATATTGCAGATTATAATCAGGTTCGGATTAAACCAGATTTATATTGAAGGATCGATTGTTTTTTGATTGTTTTGTTAATCTTTCAGTCCGTTCATCCTTCAGTCTTCTTCTCCACACCTGTCCTCTGTTTCCCTCCTCAGACAGCTCCTCAGGCTCAGAGGGCGAGGGTCAGGGCGACGAAGAGGAGGGAGGAGACGGTGAGGAAGAGGATGGAAGAGGAGGAGGCGGCGGCAGAGGGACCTCGTCCAGCCATGAGGGGAGCATCAGCATGGAGCGCTGGATAAACCGGGCCATCCACGGCACCTCCTCCACCACCACCACCTCCTCCACGGCCTCCTCCTCCTCTTCCTCCACACGCAGCGGGGGCAGCGGGGCAGCCGGCGGCAGGCTGGCCGACGTCCTGGCCCAACACATCTCCGCCCACCACCACGCCCGCCACCACCACCACCACCATCACCACCACCACCACCACCGCAAGACGGGTAAGAGGATGTGACTGAGACCTGATCAACTGGTGTCTCTAATCCAGACACCTCCACCCCAATGCTTACGCTGCGAGCAGATACAGATTATCTAAACACACTCTTTTGGTAAAACAAAGACATTATCAGCAAAATACACTTTTTTTTAGCAGAATATAGACTGTTTTGGTAAAGCCCAGAGATATTCTTAGTAAACTTCAAGTGTCCTTTTCAAACTCCAAATAACTCCAGTTTTAGTCAAAGTCATCCTCCTTTAGTAAAGAACAGAAAACACCCTAAACCAACTTAAAGCATCTTTATCTAGACGCCCTTAGCAAACTCAGTAAACCTTTGCAAGATGCAATGTTTGTTATCCACATCCAGACACCCTGAGACATATCATATCATAGGAAATCTAGATCTAGATTTGACAGAAATGATACAAAGGCCAGACTCCAAACCTCCAGAATAACCCAAGAGAACAAGCATGAAGATACAGGTTCTTAGCTTCTTTAAACATCTTAAGTCCAGACCCCCTCAGACACCTCTTTAGAAATCTGGACACCTTCAGTAAACTCTAGATAACTTCACCTCATCTTCCATCCAACTGACTCAACTTCTTGATGTAGTTTCTTATTCTTTCTTTCTTTCATCACAGGACATGACCTCTCTGACCTCTTATCAAGAGACATACAGTTTTGTGAAAAAGTGTTTGCCCCCTTCCTGATTTCTTATTTTTTTGCATGTTTGTCACACTTAAATGTTTCAGATCATCAAACAAATTTAAATATTAGACAAAGATAACACAAGTAAACACAAAATGCAGTTTTTAAATGAAGGTTTTTATTATTAAGGGAAAAAAAATCCAAACCTAAAATCCAAACCTACATGGCCCTGTGTGAAAAAGTGATTGCCCCCCCCCCTGTTAAAACATAAATTAACTGTGGTTTATCAAAGTAATTGAGATCTGTCAGTCTGGAAAAGGTTACAAAGCCATTTCTAAAGCTTTGGGACTCCAGCGAACCACAGTGAGAGCCATTATCCACAAATGGCGAAAACATGGAACAGTGGTGAACCTTCCCAGGAGTGGCCGGCCGACCAAAATTACCCCAAGAGCGCAGCGACGACTCATCCAAGAGGTCACAAAAGACCCCAGAACAACATCCAAAGAACTGCAGGCCTCACTTGCCTCAATTAAGGTCAGTGTTCATGACTCCACCATAAGAAAGAGACTGGGCAAAAATGATGATCCCCAAGACTTTTGGGAAAATACTCTGTGGACTGACGAGACAAAAGTTGAACTTTTTGGAAGGTGGAAGGTCCCATTACATCTGGCGTAAAAGTAACACGGCATTTCAGAAAAGGAACATCATACCAACAGTAAAATATGGTGGTGGTAGTGTGATGGTCTGGGGCTGTTTTGCTGCTTCAGGACCTGGAAGACTTGCTGTGGTAAATGGAACCATGAATTCTGCTGTCTACCAACAAATCCTGAAGGAGAATGTCCGGCCATCTGTTCGTGACCTCAAACTGAAGCGCACTTGGGTTCTGCAGCAGGACAATGATCCAAAACACACCAGCAAGTCCACCTCTGAATGGCTTAAGAAAAACAAAATGAAGACTTTGGAGTGGCCTAGTCAAAGTCCCGACCTGAATCCGATTGAGATGCTGTGGCATGACCTTGAAAAGGCGGTTCATGCTCGAAAACCCTCCAATGTGGCTGAATTACAACAATTCTGCAAAGATGAGTGGGCCAAAATTCCTCTACAGTGCTGTAAAAGACTCATTGCCAGTTATCGCAAACGCTTGATTGCAGTTGTTGCTGCTAAGGGTGGCCCAACCAGTTATTAGGTTTTGGGGGCAATCACTTTTTCACACAGGGCCATGTAGGTTTGGATTTTTTCCCCCTTAATAATAAAAACCTTCATTTAAAAACTGCATTTTGTGTTTACTTGTGTTATCTTTGTCCAATATTTAAATTTGTTTGATGATCTGAAACATTTAAGTGACAAACATGCAAAAAAATAAGAAATCAGGAAGGGGGCAAACACTTTTTCACACAACTGTAGTTGAAGGTTTTATTCAAAATGTGCCGACACTGCTTTCAAGCTGATTTGTCCACCGCTTCAATAGATGTACTTAAAGTTTAAAAGGAATAAATGCCAATGTGTCAAATAAAAGTGATTATTTCAAAAGATAACATGAAAGAAAATAGTTATGACTTGGATTCAGAACTGTTGTTCCAGTCTGAACAGTTATTTTGGCCTAAAGAACTGCAGTAATAGACTGTTCTAACTTCTAAGTACTCCTAAACTGAGACTTTAGTGCCACAGACTTCCAACTTATTCATATTTTGTATTAGAGTTCATCATCCAGAAGTATATTTGGTGAGCTGTGAGTCAAACCTCCCAGTAAACGCTGTCCTTCATGTTTATATTTCTCTTACTTTGAGCTTCTTAAGAACAACTTGTTCCTTATTTTGCCTCCTTGAGGCCCCGGAATCCAGCGAGGAACTTCAAAGCTTTAATAAAACAACTTATCCTTGAGTTTATTTAGTCCGAAGTAGAGGTGTGTGTGTGTGTGTGTGTGTGTGTGTGTGTGTGTGTGTGTGTGTGTGTGTGTGTGTGGGTGTGGGTGGGGGTGTGTGGGGGGGGGGGGGGGGGGGCTTCCTGTCCACTCTCTGAAGTGTAAATGTGTGAAGTGGGGATGTCGGGTTAGTAACGTGTGTTCATCTGGAGGCTCGTGTCTCTGTGTTTACTGCTGGTTTCACAGCTTCTACTTCCTGTGGTAACTCTGGTCTGTCTCTGATTTCTGTCGCCAGTGTTTAGCAACAGTTAGATTTTCTATTTACTTACTTTAACTGAAACTTAATTTCCAATTGAGTCTAATGACTAATTAACTTTGAAATATACAATATTATGACTCTGAGCTCCACCAGACAGTGTCATGACATCCTTTGGGGAAACACTGTGTTACGTCATCCAGAGCTGGATGTCTTCCCTTCAACTGAACTTTAGAACTGATTCCACAGCGCTGCTTATTAATAAAACCTCCGGTATAAAATATGAAAGTAAAAAACACTGGCGTGCTGTGTTTGTGATTCTCCCGCTGTCTGCCGACGTAACGTCGTGACTAAATGCTAAACGGCTTTCTGATGCCGGCGCTGCTGAAGATGAAGCAGAGACAGACCCCCCCCCCACCAGCTCCAGCCAGCCAGGCTGCAGCTCCCTCACAGCTCGGATGTGACTTTGTTTGTTTCCACTGGTTCCCTGTGTCACCTGCTCCCCCGCGTTCTCAAATTAGCAAAGTCAGAAAGATGTTTCCAGAAGGAGCAGCTGCTGGAGGCCTGTGGTGCTCTGCAGGATCCAAACCCAGTCTTCTTCTGTAGCACAATTCAGCATGACGTGCTTTACACAAAACATCAAATGCATCGAGAGGAAATGCTAAAGAAACGCAACACAAAGGGACATCTGATTAAAGGCAGTCATTAGAGAGAGAATAGAAGATGAATACGAGCTCAAATACAATAAGACGAGGTTTAAAATACAAGAATAAAAGCTACAATGTCGGGTAAGAAATGGATCATTATTTGGTTTGAGAGGGAAAGGAGAAGGATGGTGAAGATGCTGGAGGAACATCTGTTGTTGAGCTTATCTTTTGAGGTGAAATTCACTCATCTGCATCTTGAAATTCACAAAGTGTCTCCACTAGTCTGGCACAAAAACAAATTAGGGGACGTTCAAGTGAATTAAAATAATGTTTACTTCATGATTGGCAAATATAGCTGTCAATAAGAAACCTTCAAAGGTTCCCTTAACCCTCTGAACTCCCAGCAGTTTACTCTTTGTAGCCTTGATTTTCAAAATAAAAGTCCTGCACCTCTATGGAAACAGAACAATCATGTCTAGAAGAGGAGAGAACTTAAAAAATGAACACAGTTACAACGTCATAAATCATTAAACATTTAAAAAATGCAAGTTGAGTTTCTTTGATTTATTTTGCAAAAATTGTCAAACAATGGAATCTATGTATGAGATATGATGAGGTAATCCTTTATTAGTCCCACAGCGGGGAAGTCTACAACTTTATACAACGTGTTACAAGTTGCCACAAGTGTTCTCAATGTTGGAAAGAAAAGTGGAGGCTCTACGTGCTTTATATATATTAAACTATTCACATTTTAACAACCTCTACTTCCAGCCTCTCTGCTCTGCTCTGCGTTCAGCAGTTCTGTTGTTCCTGCTGCGTTGAGGAGCTCAGAATGTAATGTTTGTTACAGGATGTTTAGAATAAGCAGTTTATTTGGGATGAGATATTAAATGAGACACGTTGAAGACAATGTTTTTGATGAAATATCACGATTTTAAGCTTCTCTTTGGTGTCTTTCCCTGACGTACAGTGTGATGATGATGATGAGCGTTCTACAGCTTCTGGTTGTGATGAACGCTGGAGTTTCATGCTTCTCCGTCCCGCCGGCAGGTTTTAGAGTTCAGAGGTTTTAGGTTTTCATCGTTGAAGGAAAGTGGCTTCAGGTAGATTATTATATTATTATGATGTCTCATTGCAGAGAACCTGTTTCCATTCGATATCACCTCCAGGTCATGAGCACCACGAAATGAATCCTCCACCTGCAGCACGAACACACCATCGCTCAGCAGCAGCACCTTCTGTCTGCTTCTGAGCTCTTTGGTTTCACTTTATGTTTCACAGCTTCAGTTACACATTTCCATCAGCTCACAACATTGTTGTTCTACATTTTCTCAATCGGCCCAAAGTCTCAGTGAGTCTTTTCTACTCCACGGAGGAAATCCTTTGGTGCACACGTGTGCGTTACCGCTCCTCGTTTGTGTGTGTGTGTGTGTGTGTGTGTGTGTGTGTGTGATAATACTTCGGGGAGATCTTTTCATTCAGCTCGTATCTGAAGAGCTCGGCCTGCTTCCTGCAGATACCTCTTCACCTCTCCTCTCCTCTCCTCCCTCTGACAGCTTTGTTTCTGTCTGACTGTGGGCTGAGCAGAGCGC